CTCCAAATTTTTTTGGTAGTCTTCAGATTTCATGATGCCATGTACACAATCAAGGTATCTAGTACCAGGCAGCTAAGGAGCCCCAAAATATATGTGAACCTCCACCATGTTTGACCGTGTTCTTGTCTTTGAAGGCCTCATTTCATCTACTGTAACAATACAATGATGTGCTTTCCCAAAAAGCTCTATTTTGGTATCATGTGTCCTCAGGAGTTTCTACCAAAAGGATATTGGGGTCCTTAGCTAAGTTTTGGCAAACTCCAGACTGGCTTATTTACAATTCTGTGTCAACAGTGTAGTCCTTTGTCCCCTGTAATAGCGTCCAATTTCATTCAGATAGCGACGGATAATGCAAGCTGACACTTGTTCTCTGTGTCTGCAGGTTGGCTTAAATTTGTCTGGAAGTTGATAGAGGTTCTCTACCTTTCGAATGATCCTTCATTCCAATCTTCCATCAATTTTCCTCTTCCATCCATATTCAGGGAAGTTAGCTACAGGAGTTTAGCCATGGGCTGTAAACTTCTTAATGACGCTGCACACAGTGGACACAGAAACACTAAAATCTCTGGACATGGACTGGTAGCCTTGAGATTGTCCCGTAGATTGCGCTTTCCCATAAATATGGTTCTCAAATCCTCAGAGAATCTTTGCGCTTCTTTCCTTTCTCCATGATCAGTGTGGCACACGCAGACACAAAGACTGAGTCAACTTTTCTCCATTTAAATTGGTTGCTAGTGTGACACCTGCATTTCCAGCACCTGTTACTTGCCATATGTGAGTTTAAATATAATTTAAAAGCAGATCACATTATTCAAATCCAGTTATTTCTTAGAATTTTATCCAGTCCATTTCTGGAACTCTGTACGGGATGATATCAGATTTGACTTTTTTCTCTCCTCTTTTGTGTTCCACATACCAACAAAATAAATAAAATAAATATTCCAATACCAACAAAATAAATAAATATATAAAAATTTGAAATTGCAACAATTACCTGGGAGAAGCAGTGTATTTTCTGAAAGGAATGCAAGAGGTGCTGGTATTTTTGGCCATGACTTTTCATACATATGTCAATAATGTAATTGATAAATTAAATTAAAATTAATGACAAACTCTGCTGTGTAGTACTCAGGATCATTTCCTGTGTTGTAGAATAAGATGTTTCTGTTTTCTTTTCCTGAAACATTCACTCCTGGTGAACACATTGTGAGCAAAAGGAATATATTATCATGCTATATACTAGTTAAAACAATAAGCCATAATCGTTGTGGTAAAATAACCAGACCTAGAAAAATCTCAGGTGTTGAAAGTGAAAATCCTGTTTTACTCAGGCAAATATTTAACTCAAACGATGCTGCATTTTCCACACTCTACCAAAAACTGCTATAAACCTGTTAAAAAGAATCGCATGAATTACCTCGGTGTTAAGTTGGTGAACATTATACTGTATAGACAGATGTTGAAGAATTCTGTTTCTTTGCTTGTTTGTTTGTTCGTCTGATTGATTGTGTGTTTGGGGGAATCTACATTAGATCTTCACTTTCGGCTGGAGGGAAGACATCAGGCCAGGAGATCCCATGCACACCAGGAAGTTTTGCTTGGATGCAATTTCCAGCAGCAGCCCTGTAACGTTGTATGACTGTCATGGCATGAAGGGTAACCAACAGTGGCAGTACAGGAAGGTACAGTACTCTGAGAGCAACGGCATTCAGTTTACCCTTAAATGGAGCAATTCTGCTCTTGAAGACCATCGAAAGTATTATTACCTGAGTGAACAAACATGACGTTATGCATATATTTGACATTTCAGTTCTATTGCTTTTCTTTACTGTCCTGATAGGAAATATTTTTGTTGTTCTGGTACATTTCTAAATGAGAATTACAAAGATGAAGACATTTTAGTATGTTTGATACGAATATAAACACTCAAATATTTAATAAAACTATATAGTAATCGATCCAATGCATTTTTTATGAACACATCAATAAACAATTCTCCAGAACCAAAGTTATTTGTTGAAGCAAAGTTCAAAACTAATCCAGAAGTTCATGCACTGGTGACTTTTAATGCCGTAATGTTAAAAATCAAATCACATTACATCAAATAATTGCCACATAGCTAGAATGTTGCTACATACATAATCCTGATTAAAAACATTATACTTCCTGAATTTCCTATCCCAGAGCAATCAGTGGGAGATGACGCTTTCACTCGTGATGGTGTCATTACAGTGGTCCATTCCGTTTTGCTGCAGGATAAATCTCTGTATCATCCCGTGAGCGGAAGCTGCATGGACGGCAGCCCTAGTGATAAGAAGATTTTCATGAGTAAGTGCAACCCACAGTCAGAGACGCAGAGATGGTACTTCCAGCACGCGAATGCGACCATCCTGGACAAATTCAGTGGGCCCACAACCTCCTAGGGGTCCCTGGTCATCCCAGACGGAGAAGGCCAGCTCTCGTCGGCATCAACAACATGGCTGGATTCTCCTTCCCTCAGGATCTCTTCTAATGTGAAAAGATGAGTTTGGATTTGCACCTTGCTGGCCAAGGACGCATAAATGCATGAGGCTCTCCCAGCTTGAGGGCTGATTCTGCCCCTGGCATCAGAACTGGAAATGGCAGACTTTGAGAGTGGCTCAGATTTAGAAAAAAAAGAACCTTTTTTTAGTCACTTATGCAAAGACTGCATGTAAGCTTCTGCCTCTGAAGTGTTGACTTTGTGTTAAAACTTTTTTATCAGTATTCTTTTTATTATTCTTGTTCTAATAATTCATTATTTGAAATTTTTGTCATATTTTTTTACAGAAAATGTATATAGAGATCTGGCGTCATCATCACTACAATCAATGCTATTCTTGTTATAATTGTGAAACGGTACCAAAATGCAATAAACTGGTTTAAACACCAAGCAAAGTCACACGAGAGTGCATTTTATAGCCTTTACTACGCTTTAAGAGAACTTTCAAAATTCTTTTTTGTTTAGGGTTATTTTATATGTACATAGAGAATATGTAAAGCAATGTTTGCGGGCGGCCCCTAGCCAAAAATTTAATTCCAGGGGGATCTGGCAAATTTATAGCAGGGGTTCAAACTCCTTACTTTACTACTTGACCACCCTGGTCAGGAGCAAAGAAAGTCCTGGGGGGGCGGGGCTTTCAAACCCTTAATTCTATTGGGTGGCTACGTGCCTGGTTAGTACTGATGAATAAGATGAGAGTTTTCATTTTTGCTTGTGTGTCCTGGTGATTTCTTTCGTAGTGTGTTTGGTAAGATACATAATAAAGCCCACAGCAAGTAAGGCACCACAACCAACATAAATCCAGAGAAATTCTAGGATAGATCGAGGTGATACATGCAATTTTTTCAAGAATGGTTACATGACATTCGGGAGTTTAAAAAAAATATATATTATTATTATTCTCGATGTCATATTTTTACTCAATACTACTGTGGTATGAATTTAGATTATTCTTGGAAATTAAAACTGAATAGTAGCCCACTGGTTAATAAGAAAACAAAATGCATGTCAGATTACATTTTGAACTGAAACATTTCTGCTTGTGTATGTCTTGGGGGGTATTCAGACAATTGTATCTGTGGGAAAATAAAAGTGCAAAACCTTAAAAGTGTGAAGGAATAGTACAGTACATTTAAAATCAACACAATATATAACTTCTTGATAAAACACAACAAATACATGCGGCTGATGTTACTGGTGGATAAATAATAAAATAATAATCTTTGGTTTTCTTCTCTGCACAAACTTTTCATTGTAGTCTGAAATGCAAGATAAATCTTTCAGGGAAAAAGGAAAAGACATACATTAATTTTTTAGCAGATACAACAATAGTCAACCTTTTTTCGTAGTTGAGATGGATGATAATATATTTTAATATACAGAAATCACATCCCCATAGGCGTTTTATTCTCGGACAAATGAAATACTGTATTATGAAAAATAATTTCTGATATTTCTTGTGACTTTTTTGATTTTTTAAGTTTCTGATTATAACCATGAAATTGTATTAATGCTACAGTAATCAATAATCGCTTAATCTTTCAATGATAAGGTCGTGATGCTAGTTAATGTGATGGGGTGGAGAATGGTAAATAGCACGCTGCGCAGGATTGCACCCTTCTGGTCTTTTGCTGGGCACACACTACTGGAGACTAAAATTGCTTTTTAAAATGACAGTTTTCGGTAATTTTTTTGCTTCCTTAAAAAGAGACGCTGAAATTCTATTGCAATTTAAATTCACCTATTTATATGGTATATACCACTTATATGGTCAACTAGAATGTAGCCCAGTCCATTTTACGGCACACTCAATCGGACGCTAAAGAGCATTTAGAAATATGCTACCGTTCGACAGTGCTTTCTGGAGAAATTAGAAACACTGGCGAAAACCGAATGCATTTGCGACGCTGGAGATGAAAATCAAGCATGAACACCCCACTTTGATTCTAACAACGCGAAATAAATGACAGGTAAGTAATTATTGTGTATCATTATTTATCAATTTACATCAGAGTTCACGCCCGGCTTAATTTCATTTTTCAAAACAAGAAAACAAGCTGAGCATAATAATGAGGCGGGTCGTAATTGTCACTATTGTCGTGCAGTGCGTCAGCGCGCGCACGCGGGCGCGTGAGTTTGTATGTGTGTGTGTGTGTGTGTGTGTGTGTGTGCCATGTGCGGTGGCTGTCTGGGGCGCGACCATTACGAGAGGCACGGGGGCCGACTGGGACGGTGGCAGCAGCGCCAGGGCGGGGGAGACACGCTCGTCGAGCACAAGCTGCTGCCCCTCATTAATATACATGTATATGTCATTTAGCCGTAGTTAAAATGAGGTTAAAGGTTGGATTTATCCTTCGCAGTTTGGTAATCATTGGCACTTTTTTAGTCCTGGTCGTGCTGTGGTCCTCCCTTACGCCGAAAGCAAGCGACGACACTTTTGCTAAAGTGGTAGGTTGTTATGGTTTTTATTGGTAATGAAAGCGCCCGGTGTTGTCTCGTCGATGGACATTTGTTACTTGTTTGTCCTTCACTTTGGTTTCGGCTACTCGAGCGCCGCCGGTAAACGCGCGTGCAGTCCGGCTCGTTGTCATGGATACCTTATGTACCAAGCTAGTAAAGAGATAAGTAGTTAAAGCACAACTATGGGGACCTGTGGCTGCTTGTTTCCTCTCTGCATTATAGCAACTGTTTGTATGCCTGTACGTGAGCGGTAGTGGATGCCGGGTGCGATAAGTTGTGCTGCCATACTTGGTGCAATGGCAACCCGGAAGGCAGGCGTTCGGCGTACGGTTAGCATCGTTAAGCGAGCCGTGGCCTGGCTAGGCCCCGAAAACGGCGCACCATACGCCGTCTGAGGTGACATTTCTCAGCATTAACATTAATTAAGCATCAACGTAAAACGCCATCCGGAGTAAACAACATTTAATTGCGTGGAAATTATTTTGTTACTGGGCTCGCTAAAGTAGCGCGTCTCTGCGTTTAGTTAATGCACTTTCACTAAGCTGTTTGCGGGTTAGCATGCCGTCCAGTTTTATTAGAAATTGTCTGGTCAGATGCAAGCATGAGTGCAATAAATTTTACACGGTCTGTGGGAAGACTTGAAACGTTAGATCGTTTGGCTCTGGGATAACGCCATTGACGTGCTTAGGGTACTTAATTTAATGTCTTTTAATTGAAATGTTAACTTTAACTACTAATAAAAATAGGATGTGTAAAATATGCGCTGTGACAGCCTGTTTTCTGTGCAATAAATGCTCTGTTAATAAAAGAAATTATAAAGGCATAACTGTGATTTCAAGTTTGGCAGAGATTGATTCTTTCTCATCATTTCCAGGGCCAGGGTAATGCTGCTGATGTCTTGCCCAATGCCAAGAATAATATATTGGAAAAATTTAAACCTGTGGTTCCTTGGCCTCATGTTGAAGGAGTGGAGGTCGACCTGGAGTCCATCCGTCAGAAGCATGCAGGAGAAAATGAGATACATCAGCAAAAACGGGAATCTGGGGATGTTGTGCAGAATCAGCAAAATGTCATGCAGAAGCAGTATGCTACTTTTAAACCCCACAGCCACCCGTACTCCAACCCTGTCCTGAAACGAGGTATTTTGGGCAACTTTGAGCCGAAGGAACCTGAACCTGATGGAGTGGCAGATGGCCCAGGGGAAAGAGCCAAACCGTTTGTTCTGGGTCCAGACTACAAGGATTCCATACAGGACAGCATCAAAGAGTTTGGCTTCAATATGGTGGCCAGCGACATGATATCCCTGGACCGCAGTATCAGTGACTTGCGGCATGAAGAGTGAGTAAAACCACCTAGTTACCCTTGTGGCTGTTCATGGCTGCTCTTGTTGGACGCATGTTGTAGAAGGGATTTCAATTCATTTACATCTCAGCTATTAAATTGTTACCATCAGAGTGCTAGCATGTTTACAGTGCTTGTTTTTGCTGCCTGATTTACAGCTGACATCTAAAAACGTAAAATGGAAAAAAAAAGACGTCTCTTCCTAAAAATAAAGCATTTCAATGATGAATAATGACAAAAATACATATAATGAACCCAGAATAAGTAATTTGTTTCAAAAAGTGTTTCTGGCATATTGGGTCTATTGATTCTTTAGCTGCAATGGTCTCTTTGACCTCGAATTACATGCTTTACAGTACCACATTGGACACATGCGCAATCATCTATACAAAATTCTGATATGTAATTGGCCATTTAGTAACCAGACATGTACATTTCAGAATAATTAAAGGAGTGTCCTATTTCATATTTTTTATATACTGATTTCAGTTTTCTAAATACTTATTTATTGGGATATATTTCTCTGGGCTGCTTTCACTCTTGTTTCACCTATTTTTGGTTATTTAGGTTTATTTGAGTATTGCAGCTGTTATTTTGGCATGTGCACATTGTCCACTGCACAATTTGTTACAAGCGTCTGAGTACATTTAGCAAATCAGAAAAGCATATTGCTAGACATGCTGGCCGTCTAAATATAAAGAGGCAACTTATAACAAATGTTATGAAAACTGAAATGTATATGCCACGGCACTGATATGGTTTTGTTGTTCATCAAGCAGTGTTCTTTTTGCTTTTATCAGAAAGGTCAAAGGTGGCAGCTGTTGAAATACACCCCTTTGCCTGCCTATCTGAATGTTGTCTGGGTGGATCCTTAGAGATCCTGAGTATTTCACAATACTAAGAATGAAAAGATCATATCTGTGGTCTTGGCAAGACCGGTTTTGCTAACTTGCTTTCCAAAAACGAACATGGGGCGCGAGGAATTCTGGGACTGTTCTCGTTCTGGCGAGGATGCAGCCGATGCATCCTTTATGTTTGACGTGGAGGAAGAATGACGTCCGGGACCTTTTACCGTCCTCTGTACTTCTGTTCTTAGTATTGGAATTGGTCTTGGGCAGTGGAAGATGATGTAAAATGGGTACGTGAGAACCCAAGTATGGTCAAGTACGCATATTGAGAAACACCCTATGAGAAAAAGAAAGTCAAATGGAGAACCAGCCTCCTTTAGGTTAATCCCAGGTTTTCCCAGGTTTGCTTAAGGTGTTCACTTTGGGTCTGACAGCTGTAGGAACTTACAAATTGAGCCATGCCTGTATTGCTTAGCATTGTGTTGTCTTGTTTTTCTCCTTTTAGATGCAAATACTGGCACTACGATGAGAATTTGCTGACCTCGAGCGTCATTATTGTCTTCCATAACGAGGGGTGGTCCACACTGATGAGGACCGTGCACAGCGTCATCAAAAGGACGCCCCAGAAATATCTTGCTGAAATTGTTATGATTGATGACTTTAGCAATAAAGGTAGTGATGGAAGTGTCTGGGAGGGAGGGGGGAGCTATTACTTGAATGAAGCATTTTGTTGACTCCAGGGTTCCAGCATCTTGGCCATTTATTTACCCACAATACACCTCACTGCATTGCTATAGTCTGTTCAGCTCTGACAGCAGCTATAATCATATCAGGACACAGTGGAAACCTTTTGTTATAATCGCAGATGGAACATTCCCATTATGGTTTCCACGTCATCACTAATAAACCTTCTTATGGATGATATCACCTGACTTTGATACCACTTTCTGTTATCAAATTAAATATGATTCGCTAAATTGTATTTGAGGTGGTGGCCAGTCGTTCTGTCACACATTTAAAAAATGTGCTGCATGCTCTGTGGATCTGCACAAGTGATCTCATACATGCATAATGAGAAAAGGAAAGCCGGGTCACATGGCAGTGAAAGGCAAAGTGCACTTTTTAACACCAGCCGTGTATTCACGGCCTGTTATCTTATCACGGTTAGGTGTTTGCTGTAAATGATTAATTAAATATCCGGGAGCTTAGTGTTGAACAATCTGCTTTTGCTTTCCGTGTTTATACTAAAATAATATAAGGCTGGGGAGAACTGCCATAGTTTTTGTGTTCTATATAATGCATTTGATAATAATTGTAGAAGATGTTGAATTTTCTAGGCGCTGGTGCTTAAATGCCGCTAGGCATTACGTGCTGCTAATGATGGATAAATATGGCCCTTTTGCTCATTGTGTGGTGCTAATTTGCATTTTTCACATTTATCCCCAGTGCACTTGAAAGAGAGGCTGGAGGAGTATATCAAGCAGTGGAACGGCCTGGTTAAGCTGTTCCGCAATGAGAAGAGGGAGGGCTTAATCCAAGCCCGGAGCATTGGAGCCCGGAAGGCCACATTAGGCCAGGTGAGTTTTGCTGGTTTCTCATTGCTGCTGATACGCATTTATACCTTTACATGTCTGCGGACCAACCAGAATTCACTGCAGAGTATGTGGCAGGTCGAATTTTATGATGCGGGTAAGGCGTAACAACGGTCTCTGTGTCCCTCCCCAGGTGCTCATCTACCTGGACGCTCACTGTGAAGTCGGAGTGAACTGGTATGCACCTCTGGTGGCCCCCATTTCAAAGGACAGGTAGCGCACAGACCATGAAAGATTATTGATGTTGTTTTGCTGTTGTTCATGTTGTTTATAAATGTTTTTTAATTATAGGAAATGTTGGTGTAATGAATAGTCATATTTATCGATGGGCATATATGCTTTGCCGTGCTGTTATTTCACTGAAGATTTTTTTTCTCCACCCGAGCAGTTTCTGTGAGCTGTTATCTTGTAAGAGTTCGAAAACAATTTTCAGAGTGAACAGTTCTGTTTGAACTTCCTCAGAGAAAACAGCTGTACTTGGTGGAATTTTGCTCTGTCAGTGTTTTCGATAATTGAAACAATGTAACGAATGTCGTTTCTTGTTAATGTTGCAGAACCGTTTGCACAGTTCCTTTAATAGATTACATAGACGGAAATGATTATACCATAGAACCGCAGCAAGGTGGGGATGAAGATGGGTTGGCCAGAGGTGCCTGGGACTGGAGTTTGTTGTGGAAGCGGGTGCCTTTGAACAGCAAGGAAAAGGCTAAGAGAAAGCATAAGAGTGAACCATATCGGTAAAGCACCCAGGATTAATTCCCTCATCCCTTATGTCCATTTATGTCCTTTGTCTTT